CATGCTGGACCAGCAGAAGTAACTTTTGAGTAGTACTGAATTACACAATGCTGGAGACCCAGCTCCTATCTAAGTTTTAATTTGCTGGCCTGTCAAAAGCCAGAAATCCCTAAACATTTTCTGTGGAGTGCTACCAGCTAAACAACTATACTGTTACTAACCAATACTAAAATTAGTTACCATGGTGTAAATTTCACTCAAAGCATGGAGCTCTCTCCTGAGGTCGCCTAAGAAGTTACTGGAAGTCACAATGGATTTAGAGAAGACTTTTTATTTTGACTCCACACTTGCACTCACGTGCATTCTCCACTTGCCCTCCTGTTTCTCCCAAATGGTTAATGCCTTCTTGTCCTATCTCATCAGGATGTTTTGTAATTGTAACTGTTAATCTTCACCTCATGATGCTTATAAGGGCTGTAAGAACAACTGAGAAATCTGATGCTACATTCAGTTTCTTCCATCCAAAGTCCTATTTTATGTTGTGACACGTATGCAGACTTAATCACGTATGCCTTTAAATGATACATATTTCTAACATCCAATTAGAACAACAGTGGAGAAAAGATATAAAAATGTGTTGTGAAGCTCAAGAGGCATATACAAACAACCATGGGTTACAAACGCAAATTAATTGCTCAGATGTCAACACCATCACAAGCCCCTGCACGAGATTTTTTTTTTTTAATTATTTCCTTTATGCCCAGGGGGAAAAAACACAAACAAGCCCAACTCAAACATTATAGCAGTAAGTGGCAAGGCAAAGCCCAGTCTACTTTTTAGCTGTCATCTCCAAACCACACACACAACCTTATTTGCTATTAGAAAGACACTGATTCATGAACTGATGAGGATTACTTCGGTATCTTACCGCAACTGTAGTCCTTTGTTTGTCCGGGTACCACCAAGCTGGTAAACCTTTGCAGTCTCTACCACGCCAGTTATTTCAGCAACCTGCATCACAGAGTACAATACACAAGAGGAAAGATGTAAGGGGTTTTTTTTGTGTTCCTGGAATATATCTGGCATATATCTTGATACAGTTTTCCTATCTTCTCAGTTTGGCCTTCCTGACCAAATGATGCACACTTTCCTACTTTTCCTATTTCCTTTTCAATTAATGCTGGTTTTGACTAACGTATGCCCCAGATGAGATACACCAGTGCTGCTCACATACTGAACAGAGTCCCTCTGGGGACCTTTTTAATGCAATTTTAGAGAATACTATTGCACCCTATAATTGTGCAGTTACTGCAATGAAATAGAAAAACAAAACTGTTCTCAATCACCTTCTCTTCTAAGGCATACTGGTGTACTAGAAGCACTTTGTAAAAAGAAAAGAAAAAAAAAAAAGAACCAAGACCATGCAATAACTTGGGAACATTCCCAGAAATAAGGAGTGAATGTTACTCATCCTTACTTGGTCAGAGTCCTGAACTCTAGTTTGCAAAACAAATGATGAGGCAAGACAGCACGAACTAAAGCTGGAACAACAGGCTTTGTTAGTGCTTCTTCTCTCACTAAATGTTTCTCTTTACCTAGCTGGCCCCATACATATTTATTTATTTTGAATCCAGTCTTCTCCATTTCTTTGGCAACAATTAAATTTTCTGTTTATGAGTGATCTTTCTAATAACTCAATCACAGGTACCTGAGAATTGCTAAGCTGCAAATCTCATATTACAGCAGTGTAAAAAGTACTAAATCCCTTGGAACTAAACTCACTCGATAAACAGGTTTGCTGTTGTGATTTCCAATGCCAATGCGGACAAAGCAGCCAGTGACTGTCTTGGCAAAGAAAGGCATGTGACACCACCGTTCCAGCTTGTGTCGTGATAACCGTACTCGGTTCAGTTCTTCAGGCAAGGACACCGGCTGGGACTTGGGAGGAATTTCTTCTTTCCTGATTTAGGAAAGGTGAGAAGGAATAAAGAAAAGAAGTAGAGACATAATTACCAAAAAGGGGTCCTGAGCAAGGCATAGCACTAGTGCCAACTATTTAAATTACTAGTAAAAGAAATGATTCATCGTGCACGAGTTGAATGTAGATACGTGAATTTAGCATTCATGAGAAAGGCTTAATGCAAAGTCCCAGACTTGTTACCCACTGCCCCTGCTACCACAAAGCAGAAAGACTCACACACCAAGGCAGTTTCTAGGCCAATGCTTTAAGATAAGCCAGCATATATCTCTGCCCTGCTAACATGCCAGGGTTCTGCAGCTGCTAAACTGTAGCATTAAACAAATCTGTAAACAACAGCGTAAACAGGGATAAAAGGGTAACAGCAGGGACCTGAAGTTGCAAACCTATTCCAGGTAAATCAGTCCCATGTACCATGATATAGAAGACAAAGACTCAAATCTGAGTAATGCAAGTGTGCCCAAAAGCGAAACCGCTTTAGAGACACTGAACTGCCCCCAAACAAACCTCTAAAACAGCATGAGTCTACACAAAGTGGAACACTGTATTTGAACACACATTTACAAGTAATCATAGTCCAGTGTTTACTACTTACTCTTCCTCCTCATCAGAAGATGAGGATCTGGATGAGCGATCACTTTTCTCACTGGACTTATCATCCTCCTCCTCCTCTTCATCATCAGAGTATACTTCACTAGTTTTTAATGGCTGTTTTTTTGCAAGCAATTCGGCTGGAGGAAAAAGGAGAGAACAAGGAAAAGCAAGGTGTAAATTTTTAACGAAAACTTCCTTTCACAGTTGAAACCTTATTGTTTTACAGAAAAGAGGCACATAGCCGTTAATTTTACACTGGATACAAGTGCAATGTGTTCAAATCCACTAGTAAGCTAAGCACTCCACTGTAATATTCAAAGAGAGAAATCAAAAGTATTTAAAAGCATCTTAAGTCTCAGTTGCACTTATCTCCAGTCTCCCAACTTGACTGCACTTGGTAATAAAAGATGGGCAAAACAACTAGATACGAGATAGAACTATTATGATGTGAAAACATTACTATTTTGCAAGGGGGAAAAAATCTCATGTTTGGAGAGAAGCACGATAAAACACAGTAGAGTAACAATAAGTCTGTGGCAAGATGGACAGGGTGATGTGTCAATGAAGAAACAAGCAAATGTAGACATGGTAGTACAAGTACAATAAATACGGTTTGGATGGTTCAGAGATTAAATAACACAATCTAAGTGACCAATTCAAACATATGAACTAAACATTACTAAGTGTCATTTAATGGACTGCAATTCAAGTTTGTTTTGTTTTCAGTCCCTTCCAGGAAGGGAAAACAGGGAGGAATAGAGCATCAGCAGTACCAAACAATACCTTAAGTGGTCATGTTGGGCAAAAGACCAAGGAAAACACAGACGCAGCGTTCATTCGCTCCAAGGTGTAGGATTGTTGCGTTAATTGGAAACGGGAAGTAGCACTTTCAGAAAGCTGTAATAATGTCTCAAAACTTGCAGCAATAGCAACATGCTTTCATACCTGTTCTGTTCTTCCTTTTCTCTCTTTCTGCTTTGAGCTCCTCCATTGCCTGAGATTTCTTGTCTAGCTTCTCATCCCGTTTTGATCGCCGCTCTTTGTTATGAGACATGACCTAAAAACATGCACAGAAAGTCCCTCCACACTGAGCACAATCAATAAATTGAAATGCATTAAAGCAAAGATTGTTTGCACACTTCAAAAACTTTTCAAATAGAAACTGCTAGCAAACTCCATTTTGAAATTGGGTTTTTTCAAGTTCATTTTTACAGAGGTTAGGGAGAGGGAAAGCAATCTGAAGCCTATTTCCAAGTTTTAGTCTCAAAACTCCTCCTAGAGTTAAAAAATACCTAGAGAAACAAAATGGAAGTACTTCTGCAACCAACAAACAATAAAGAAAAATGGAATTAATTTTCTTCTCATTTGCTTCTCCTTCTGCAAGGCCAAATCAAGGCACTTCTCATTCAGCAACAAAGAGAAAAGTTATGTTAAAAAATACTTAACGCAGAAATAAAGTTTGTATAAAGTCTGCAATATAGATTCAAATCTCAAATGTTGCAAGTCTTCTAATATTTTCTGTTTCTAACAGGTTTATCTGGAATACCAGGTAGCACAGAAAGCAGATTCTGTAGTAAGCACAAGAGTCAGTTGAAGTAAGTTGAAGTAAAAGAACTCTGCAGAAAATTCTTTTATATATGCATATATGTCTACATGTTATGTATCACATGTTTGGACTATACAAGTATATGCGCACACGTGTACACATATGGAGTTGAGAGGGGTAGGGAGATGAAATCCACTCCATTCAACATGTGCCTAAGGGAAAAAATCAAATTAGGTGAGATGGGTTAAGTGTTAAAACATCTATTTCACTAGAGAACAACACGGAGTGAATGCCAGCTGGAGATGCTCTCCTCTGTTGCACAAAGACAGAGGCAACAACAAGTGCAAATGACCAGCTAGTTCGTAGATGGCTAAAGTTAGGCAAGATGAATCGCATCCCATTCTGGGAGCCTATCTGTCCAGACTCTATAAATAGTTATGGCAGGATCTTAACTATTTGAAACTACAGCCAATTCAGCCATTTGAAACCCCATTTCAGTTAGAGGCCTCATCCCAACAGCTTTTCCTTGACACCCCTAACTAGTAGAAATTTAGCATTCTTTCCATTGTATGTGCATGCAAAATAATTAAGACAACAGCTGAGCAGCTTCTGGCTTGCTCTCTCAAACTTTCTCTTGCAAGAAAGGCTGCGTACGTAATGTTTCAGACTGAACGACAGAAGTTTGGCTACAGGAACCACAAAAGGTTTATTTGGTGCTCTCATATGGGAGGACTATCACAGAAACTCTAGATATAGCTGCAACTTTGCATTTTTCATTAAAAGGAGTTGTAAGCACACCCCTCAGCAGGCTTTAATTTCTTTAAATGAACTGGAAAGGCTAAAGATATCTTGAGCACATAAATGAACTAAATTCTGACCTGCTTACCATTCTGTTTGACATTAAGGGAAAACATAAGGGGCAGAGAGAGGCAGCATCCTATCTCCTCTTGCCAAGGGAAAGGGGTTTGTTACTAAGGACAGTTTCATTTCCTACCTGGGATTCCTGGATCTGTGTGAGTTTTTTCTTCTCCTGCTCCTCCTCTTGCTTTTTCTTTTTCTCTTTCTTTTCTTTCTTTTTTGCTGTTTTTAGTTTCTTCTTGATTTCAAATCTAGTAGCAGACATTGAAACAGAAAGAACATGTGAAATAATGCTCTCTCCTTGAGCGAGCAAGTACCGCGCAGATGCTAATTCAACTTAAGTTGCTAGGAGGCTGCAAGGAACACTTTGACTGCTTGCTCCAGACGGATAACCCTTTAATGCTATCCTGTCCCCCATGCCCATCTTCTCCCTTGCCCAAGAAAAATAAGGTCAAGAAAAGCTGAGCATAGGAAAGTGCAGGCTTACAGACAGCTAACAAGAAGAGCTGAGGAGACCTCATAGTCATAGCTACTTGTAGAAATCTGTCCTTACTCCCTCTTCATATTTGCCAGTGTAGTGACCATCGCATGCTGCCTCCAACTCTAAAAACAATTGGTTATTTCACATCATTTTAATTCTCAGCAGCGATGAATGTGGTTGTTTAAAGCCACTATCATGCTAACTTTTTTGTGCTTAAACTCCACCTTTCTACCGGCACTGGTCTGTATAAGAACTGCAAAAAAGCCAGTGAGTCCTCCCTCAGCAGCCACATTCCAATCAGACTCAGGCAGCTTCTGCAGTCTAATTTGGGCACTTCCATTGCTACCTTCATGAAACACATCACCCTGAAATCTTATTTTCAGCCACTGTATTCAGAAAAGTAGTAATTTCCCTAGAACTGTCCTGTGACAGAGATTCCACTGCACCATGGACAGGTCGTTGTTTTGGTGCATATGGACAAACAAGAAAAAAAAGTTACTTAACTTCCTGTAACTGAAATTCAAAATGTGTCATCCACATGCATATTACACTGCCCATTCTTCTTTAGTCCTTTACACCTGGATCAGGCAGACAAGAAACTGAAGTGCCAGATGAGCTTGTTGCCCTTTTTGCCTTTAACATGAAGGATAACACACAGGGCACAGGCATTGTATCACATGCCATGTCTGCTGTAATCCCAATGAGCTCACAGCACAATGTGCACACAAAGAGTTAGACAACATTTTGAAAAATTCAACTTACCATAAGTTTAAATAACTATCCCCTCCACCACCCCCTTAGTTCTACCTGCCAACTCCTTCACACAGTACAGGACAAACGCATTTAAAGTTAAACCAGTAACCCAAGCTTAGACTCTATCTTGTTTGTATCAAGTATTCTCCAGCACTCATTCTAGAAGACAGACATTCGGTTACCATGAAACAGCGTATGAAATTTTAAAATATGGCATCCTTCTACCTGATCTAAAATCCAATCTTTCACTCATTCTGATTCCTTTGAGGAGAGCAGCAGACTAAAGACATTGAAAGTAGTATTAAAACCACAGAGAGGCAAGACAGTCCTCTAAATATGGCTTGGACAAATGGACAGTCTGACAGTAGCTTGTATTGATGTGGTTTACTCAACAGATGTCAGTCCTATAGAGAAATTTCTCAGCAAGTAAGAGAGAAGTCACTGAAGAAGGAGGAAACTGGAGAAAACTTGCTCCACACATGCCAAATCTTTTCTGTTAAGACACATGGGGAGAAAGATACCTTTACTATAAGGGAGCTGCCTGATAGTACAGTGTTACAGTAACAAAGCCACAGCACCTAAGGTAGAAATCCACAAACAACCCCTTGAAAACGACATATCCAACACCATTCCTCATTAGTCAGTATCTCTCTCTTCTCTTAGGTCACCACCAGCTTCACATCCATACAGAGACAACCCTAAAACTGCGCTGTGCCTCACCATTGTTTTCTGAAAAATTCCAGAAGCTCATATGCACCTTACACTTTGTTTGCCTTTTTCCAAAGTACCAGCATGCGACAGCTCATACAGAAAAGACAGAAGAGATGCAGTCCTTCTGACTCTCTAGCATCTAGTGTGTGAAGCAGTAATTTGGCTGCAACAGTAGCCAACAGCACCACGCATATTCAACAGCTGAGAAACTTTCCGAAAGTGGCTTTTACAAGAACACGCAGAATTCGTGCTGTGTCCTTCTCAACTGGTTACAAGGACAGTTTACACCAAAAGAAAATGTACAAAGAAGCTTAATTCACTTTATAGTGCTGAACGCTTGGACCTTAAACATGAGAACAGAGTCAGCATACTCTCCATAGAGCCTGTATGAATTTGCTACCAAATATTAACAGAGATAAAATTCACCTTCTCTTTAGTACTTCTCTCTTCTCTATCCGGTTAAACAGCTCCTGCTCTCTCTCCTTTTCTGTCATTTGCTCCAGTCGAGCTCGGTCTTCTTCATCTCCCATCAGATCTTCTCCATAGCCATCATGGAATTCCTCATCTTCAGATGAAGAATCCGAATCTGAGCTAGATGAGGAGCTGTTGCTTTCCGAGTCAGAGACTTCTCCTAAAAAATGAAAATACAAGGCAGTGAGATTCAGCTGGGGCAAAGCCCAACCACTTCATTGTAGCATGTTAGCAAAGAATATAGAGAATTAATTTTACACTCCTCTTCCACTATACTAAAAGCATACATATAATGAAAACTAAACCCAGGAGGAAATATTTATTACCACAAAATACGCACACTAAAAATGATAAAGTGAGTGGTACTACATGTAAACACGAATTGAGTTATAAGTAAAAATTTGCAGTAGAACAAGCAAATTTTAGGACACCTTTTGGTTAGTGTATTAAGGTCTTATGGTTAGACTTCTATGTCTATATGCTTATGTCCTGGAGAAGTTGCTTGTACATCCATAACTTTACAAGTGTGTATGTATACCTCAAATGCTGCTATTCACCACCACCAATATTCCTCATTATAACAACCTGAAGACCCAACATTTGTCATTTGAAGACTGCAACACTATGAACTGCTGCACCACAAGATAAAGTTGAAACATACTACCCTCAGGACTGACAAGGCCATGATGCTAGCTCCATTACTGTAACAAGCCCTCCCAGTTACATATGGGCTTAGAAACAGCTGACATCCCAATAATGTTGGGTAACACCACCTTTAAACTTGATCTGAGCCCAAGTGCTTTGATTATCTCACGTAATCAACTACCTTACACCAAATCACAAAAGCAAGCATTAGAATTCTCTCTCTCACTTTCATTCTGGTCTCAGTAATTCTGGAAAGTTACAGCTTTGCAAGCTTACACTGTGAAAAGCCTTGATTTGTAAGCACTGATATATACAGGTTAAGTCACTTCATGCTTTGGTCTGCCTCTGCTGTGCTCAATATACTTAAAACTGTAGGCTCCTTCATATTCTTTCTTAACTTTGTCTTTTTAGTACCAACTGAAACCGCAAGTAACCACCTGCAAACCTTCATGGGCATGATGAAAACAGGAAAGAGCACAGGAAGTATGCCCAGCATTGAAACAGATTCAACATTCATGTAAAAAAACATGACAGTTATAGGAATTATTTTTCTTATTCCATACCAGTATAGATGTGCAAGAACTCCAATTCAGGCCAAACACATGCAAGGTAAGCTCTATTTGCATCATGCAACACTATACACCTTTCCCTTTAAGTGGGAATAAAAGAAAATGCTACACACACTGCAGATGGGAGAAAAGAATTTTCCAGGAGAAAGTCAAGTAACAATGTATGTCATACATTCTTCAGTTGAAACAGTATTTGTGTTGCGTTTGTAACGGAGTGCTTACAGCAATGCTACACTGAATTATTTACACTTCAAGCCACGGCAAGTTTAAGGGTCATCCAGACCACCAGTAACACAAAGAAAATTCTTCGAAGGTAGTCTTAAAAATCACCATTTAACATTACTCTTTGGTGTGCACAAAGGGGTAAGTGCACCACGTGTGTTATCTTACCCTCTTCAGGTGCAGAGCTCTCAGCTGAGCTGTCTCTATCCGAGCTGCCTGAAGAGGCAGCTTTGTTCGTCTGTTTCTTCATGGCTCCTTTCTTCTCTGCCTTACCCGCTTTTCCCTTTTTCTTGTTTTTAGAACCTCCGACAGTCCACTGCAAGGAAAGGGCCAAGAAAAGGATCATAAGACACGAACATCACTCTCTTCCCTCCCCCAAAACACTGTAGTAAAAGTGACTGAGAAACATTCCAATACCTGACAGCAACAAATTAATCATACAAGGGAGGGGGAAAAAATAGCTGCCAATAGGAAATATATTTTACAAGATCTTTTGTGCTGGGGCAGAGGAGGCAGGAGGAAGAACATTGTGAGATTGTTTTGGGTTTTTTCTTTAAATACAAACAACAAAAAATAAGTTATCAGTACAAGTCAACAGTTGGTAGGTCACTCATTTTAAAAACCCTGAAGGCCGGGTCTGCAATATCTGCAAGGAGAAAAGAAGTACTGAAAACATTTTCCTAGGAATATAATTTTAAACAAGTGTCCAACTGCATTTGTAAAGATTAGTTTCAGCCTACTACTATTAAACAGATGTAACAGATGTGTTTCCATAACTAGCTCATTCAGGAGCAGATTATCAATTTCACAAAGGCACACCAACTATGCATGACAGCCTTTCCAAAATCTTTGTTTTACCAAGAGTACACAGCATCTGTATTTTTATGCAACAAACTAATAGCACACTCACAGACAGTAGTGCCACCACCTGCTTTTATAGACACGAGTTGGACACAAATTAGAATCACAGAAGCCAGGAAAAAAAGGATGGGGTGGAATCTAATGTCAAGTCTTAATTTTAATTTTCTCTTAATATCATATCTTTAATTTATCTTTAACTTAGATTGCAATTTCCAAGTACATGACTTATACCACCACACACACACATAGGTAGCAACTTTAAATCTCAAAGCCTCAGTAGAATAACTTGTATTTATTTACCTTACAGTGTGATTTCTTATTATAATTTTTGTATTGTCCCCACTACCTTGGTAAAGCCAGAAGGGAACAGAACCGGGAAGGATTGCCTATGTATTCTTTTAAGGCTTTACAGTACTTTGCATTTCACTACCGCTCCTAGAAGGGAGAGGCACAAAACCTTCAGGAATAAAACAGTTTCTTTCTAAATACTGTTTTCTAAACAGTTTCTTTCTTTCACAGAGTCACAGAATCGCTCGGTTGGAAAAGCCCTCTGAGATCATCACGTCCAACTGTTCCTGTCTACCCCCTAAACCATATCCTTAAGTACCTCATCTACCCACTCTTTAAACACATCCAGGGATGGTGACTCCACCACCTCCCTGGGCAGCCTGTTCCAGCTTCTTCTTTTACCCTCTCAGTAAAGAACTTCCTCCTTATCTCTAACCTGAACCTCCCTTGGCACAGCTTGGTGCCATTTCCCCTTGTTCTATCCCCCATCACCTGGGAGAAGAGACCAGCACCCACCTCTCTACAACCTCCCTTTAGATATATATTTAGACTGTTATCCTCTTCATACCTGTATATTACTCTCATCTTTCATGCACGTCACCATCTGTTCAAGCATGCAGTCAACTAAACAAATATATTCTTAATTCAAATGAGCAAATACTCTTTTCCATAACTGAGATCTTGTGCTCAGAACTACTTTAATCAGAAAAAAAATCTTTAGATTTGACCTCAGGTGCACACAAACTTCAGCCTTTTCACACATTCATCCCTTCCTAGGGGGAGAATCAAGTCAGTCCCTGCAGGCAGCAATCATTCCATGAAGTCTGATGACTTCTTCTGCCTGATTAGGCATTATCTTCAGAGAACCCTGGTGTTCAAATACTCTAAATAGAACTCAACTGAGTAGTTAGGAGCTACTACCTAACCTACTAATAGCTTTAGAATTTCCTAGGTTTTGATTACTCTCACACCCAGCTTTGTACCTCCCACATTACCACCTGCTTCAGCATCTTTAAGCATCAGCTGTGTATTGAAAAGCATCTGTTAAAGGCCAGGCAGAAGTTTTCTAAGGTAGGAGCACAGCTACCTACTGGTGAGCCTTCAATTGCCATCCATACCCTATGCAGCTACCTCTGTGTTCTAGTCCATAGGACAGGTAAGAAACTATACAGAAAGCATCTGACTATCACCCTGAGCTTGCACTCAAGTCTTTACTGGCTTCCACATTAAAGTTTGACTTGTTCAGCATTACAATACTGCTGCCTAATAATATTCCTGGTTAACTATGCCCATGTAAATCAGTTAAGAACAAGCTCATACTCTGCCTGAATCTGCTCAAGACTCAGTGTTAAGGAATCATCTCCTTGGTACTACAGCAAGGCGCATTTTTGCTGTTTGTTCAAGAGCTCACCTACTGCCAGCATACCAGTGAAAACACAACAGTGAGACTGTGAAACTGAGCATTTAGCAGGGAGGAGCAGAGCTCTGAACCAAGGATGCAGAGGTACCTCCTTCCCAGAGCTCTGCCACTTCTTTTCAGTGTTCAAACACTGAACTATACCTTGTGTCGGTATGCTGTATAGCAAGAAAGAAGCACAGAGAAAGTCACAGATAACTCCACAGTTATATCAAAACCTTGAGAGGTCATGCTGAGATGAAAGAAGTTAATATCAGATAAAAACAGCAAGACTTCAGTGGTTAATAAAATGTTTAATAGCTGTAGTACATGCATTACAGATCACTGTTCTCAGACTTTGACTCACAAGCAGAACTGTGGAGAGAACCTGGGTCCAGGAACATGGGACTGCACAGAAAGCTGTGCCACAAACACTTGAACAAGTACTAAAAATTATTCTGCCCTAATCTAGGAAATTTTGCTTTGGTTTCTCTGTCACCCTGGAGATTACACTACATCTCGCTTTTGTTTGTGAAAGTGACCTCTACATCTTTTAAGTCACAATAACTGGTTGTCACCTCCCAGTTTCAGTGTTATCACAAAGACAAATTCTTCCCCACCCAACTCAGGTGCTTCACAGGTTATTCAGCTACCAGAGTCTGTCATGAATGCCTGACCATTCCTGGTGCCACTTCAGGACAAATCAAGGGTTCAAGCAAGCCTTAAGGACAAATAAATCACCAAAACCAGAACATAGTGCTCTTTAGGCTCACAGATTGCTCTGCAGATCCAGGGACCATCAGTTATCATTTGGACATTGAATGACCATTCTGTCTGGTTCAGAAAGAGACCAGCCAACATGAACTTTCTTCTAACAGCAAAGTCTTAACAGAGATTAGCAGGTCTCAGGAGGGGGGCAAAAAAAACCCCAAAACCAAAGCAAAACCAAAACAAAACCTGAAAGCCACGAGCTGCATGGCAACCTGCAGTCCAAATCAGAGTCCTGAGCCCTTTCCTCATGCTCTTGCACATCAGCAGAGATCAGAAAGTCAACAACATGTGTGCATATAACATCAAGTAAAAATGCACTCACTGTTATGTCAGCAGCATTTATTTGCTCCGTTTCCCTTACCTCCATGCATCTCAAACAGCAAACAATAACCATATTTTCTAAAACCCATCCTCTATTGCAGCTTCTCCAGGTTTTCTCTTCCATGCTGCAGGCAGGCAGAGCCAGTCAATGCTCTTCACACTGTCCATGACTATAACACTTCCTCTGAACAGCCCCTCTATTCACTGCTGCTTCCTCAGCCACCATCTGGAACCCTCCATGGCTCCAGATACAGCAAGTTAATAAACCCAAGCAGAACTGTGCTGCAACGCGGCTTTCTGCTTATTGTTTAGTACTACCAAAGAACAGAGCTTTATGGTTCATTCATGGGAAGTAGCCAGAAGAAGAGCATTTCCATTTTAACTCTTGCTTCGAAGTCCTAATAGCTTGCATATTTTCCCCCAAGAACTCCAAGTTAAGCCACAGTACCCAGAATGGACTGACAATAAACAAACAAACAAAAAGTGAAAATACTCCCCCACCAAAAAAAACCAAAATAAAAACCAACCAAAAAACCCCCAAAGCACAGATTAGAAATAAGCCAGATTTAGAAGTCATCTTCTACAAAAGCATCTACACAAAATTACTGAAGAAAATAATTTACGGCTCAGCAAACCTGGAACATATTTCCACTGGAGAGATGAGAGGGAAGAGGAAAGGAAAAAAAGACAAAGAGACCCAAGCCTTGAGAGTACAGAATGCAGTAGAATTGCCTAACCCCTGCTGCTCAGAGAGTCGCCATCTATTCCCACAGTACCTAAATGTATTATCCACTGAGATTCTATTCTGCAAATAGGTATTCTCCTGGCTTTTTAATTTTTTTTCTTTTTACATAAAACCAAAGACAGATGCACAACTGAGGTTACCTGCCTGTCCTTGCCCTATCCTTCCCTCCTGGATATGGCTTTTATAAGCAAAAGCCAAATTACAAGCCACAGCATCAAAGCAGAACAGGTCCCTTACCTAGGCCAGCTAAACTTATGTCCTATGACAACACGACAGCTTAAGAGCACCAGGGCACATAACATTAGCCCAGCTTACAAACTTTTTTTCATTCTCCTCCATTAATACCTGGAAAACAAAAGGCAGTCCTCCAGGCAAGCCATCAGACTGCAGTTTCAGCCTGTCTGTAGACAGCAGCAGGCAGCACAGATACAAAGATAAGGCAGCATTTACTGTCTTCAGGGGTTTCTCAAAGCTGGGAGAACTCTGGAGACAGCACTTCAAGAGCTACAAGGAGGAAAATGCACTCTACTACTGTTAAAATTAAATAGTAAATAAAAAGCCCTTGTTATTTTTCTTGCTTTTCAGGGTCTGCACCTGTAGAACTGATTTAAACACAAAGAGGAGACTCAAGGTGTCAACCCTAAAATGGAAAGGTGATAAGCAAATAATGGAAACACCTTCCAATGCCACAAGAACTGACTGAAAGAAGGCTTCATTGGCCAATATACCACCAGACTCTGGATCAATTCTTATTACGTGAGCACAGCTCAAAGGAGCTCACCAAAAGGTAACTTGGAAACAAAATAAGTTTACACATAGTAGGTTCAAATTCAGTTTAAGCTGCAAGTTAACATTTGCTCTAGAAGCATTCTGAGGAGACCATGTGTTGAAAAATGGCAAGAACTGCTAAGTGACAACATCAAGGTGGAAGATA